AAGTGGATTTTGCTTCTTTTTACCAAGGCCTCACTGTTTTCACAGCTGTAATGACTTTAAATCCTGAAACTCAGTGATTTCTGTACCTTGGTAAAAAGAAGCAAGGGTCTCACTATGGCCACAGGAGCTCTGGTTTTAGTAGTGATCTTGTGTGCTCTTTTAAAGACTAGAGACCAGACACAAGTGAAAAGTTTGGTTTACTGCAAATTTCTCGGGGCCACTTTTTAAAGAAATTTGCTTAAGCCAGGAATGGTGGCACATGCCTCTTATAAGAGCACTTGGGAGGCAAAGACAGGTGAATCTCTGAGAGTTCAAGGCCAGCCTGGTCTACACAGCGAATTCCAGAACAACCAGTGCTGTTAAACAGAGACACCCTGTCCAAAAGAAAAAAAAAAAAAAACAAAAAACGCTTAAGACATTATAGCCAATATGCTTGTTGGACATATAAGCTGGCAAAAAGAATAATTCTTAAAATGAAATACTTAGGAGTCTTCATCTCGTGGCAGAGTATGGATTAAAACATACAGTACATTTACTGGGTTTACTTCGGTGCAAGCCAGTTAGCTTCTCTGGCCCTTCAATGTCAAAATGGGTTGACAAGCTAAATGATACAGCACCATTCTTTAGACTGACTACTTCAACACAACAGAGGAATGCCACTCTTTGGTGAGTTAGACACCGGTTCATTTGCAAACCCTGGAGTTGCCATTCTTACCTTGTTGAAGGATGTACTACTGAACTGCAAATGGAGACTATAGTGTTTTCAAACGCTGGTTTATCTACTCAATTTAGGGAATCACATTTCCTTAGACACCTGTCTTCTAAGTAGGATTAATGCAGAGTATATAAAACTTAAGGGCTGAGGTCTGCTTGCAAACAGGACATCCTAGTTCACGGTTTTCTTGGCCAAATGGTAATTCGGTCTAGTGCCCACCAAAGAGTATGTTTGTTGCCATGTTGTTCCCAACGCTAAAGTTTTGACAGACTGCAGTCTTCTTTCCTATGCTAGCCCCCAGTATTTTATCTTTGATGATACAGTATGGTAATGGGTCAACATGTGAAAGCTAGACTTGTACTTTACCTGCCACTTAGCAGATGCTGGTGGCAGATCTGATGTTGAAAACGATCCTAAAACATCATCACAGCAGATACGTATACAGTTATTTATTTTGAAGTGCTGTTTACCAAGGGCCTTGTGCTTGCAAGGCAAGTGCTCTACTACTGAGCTATACCTTCAGCCTTGAAACTTGTATTCTGTAGAAACGTAAGATAACTGAAGTCAACAAAAATTAACTGCATGTTTAAAAATAGCTAGTAGGGAGAATTCTGAAACACTCCCAACACCCACACCCACACAAAATAAAGTGTGGTGATTGATACACCAGTCATCCTAATTTGACCATTAGGCATTAGGTATATATTCCAATGGCATTACCCCATAAGTTACTATGTGTCAATTAAAGAGAAAGCACAAAAAAAAAAATTAACCAAAGTTTTAATAATACTGTGAACCCCAATTAAGGCTTTCTTTAATCACATCACATAATATATACAAACACACCTAGGATTCTGCTATAAAGGATAGTTTCAAGTATGCTTAGTAGCATCTTTGGACTCTATTCACTAGATGCCAGAAGCATCCCAGCTGGTCGCCAATTGTATAATCCCAAATGTATCCAGACACAGCTAAACTTTCCAACTACCATGCAAACAGCAGATGAAATACCTATTTTCTGATTCCTTTAAAGTTGTGCTTTTATCAGAATAGCTTTGTGTGTGCATATTTGTTTTCTTTTCTCTTTGATTTTGGAAATAAGGTCTCAGGTAGTCTATGTGGGTGTGAAACTCCTTATGTAGCAAGGGTAGACCCTGAACTGCTGATCTTCCTGTCTTTACTTCCCAAGTTCTGGAATTCTAGACTTGTGGCACTACACATGGGTTGTGTCCTGTTTTTGTTTTTTTTTAACTCATCAATAATTTTGGAAAGGAAAAAGTTTAAAACTTCATTTTTTTCCACATTGATCTTCCTAGAATTTAAGGCTTTACATCCTCAATACAGGCAAATCTTGATGTACTTTAGTTTCTCCGTGCAGCCCTGGTCACCCTAGAACTCACTCTGTAGACCAGGTTGCCTCCAACTCAGAGACTGGTCTGTCTCTGCCTCCTGAGTGCTGGGATTAAAGGCATGCACCACCACTGCCAAACCAGTTTTGTACTTTTTGAGTTTACTAAATAGGACATGTAACTGAAAACTCTTAAAAGTTTCAATATCACAAAAAATCCACACAATAATTCAACAAGCATTTATTAAACACCTACTGTGTGCTCAGTACTGTACTAGGCACTAAGAGGGTGCAGTGATACAATTGTTACAGTTATTATCCCTGCCCTCCAGGAGCTTACAATTTTATTTTGGAAATAAATACAAATGTGAAACTACTATACAGACTTCTATAAAACAAATTACAGAGCAAGGTATTAGTAAGTACGTGGATTATAGTACAAACTTGAAAGTTAACTGCTCAGGCAGCACAGAATAAGGGAAGATCTTGATGTGAGGTGAACTCAATCAGGAGGTGCTCACTTAAAAGACATAATGGAATTGAGTTTTGAAGAGTGATCAGGAGTTATGGCTAGAGAATAACCGAAGGACAAAAAAACCCCACACATGAGAAAGGCACAGAGGCAAAGGCTTGTAAGACAACAGTAGAAAGCTGTAGGTTTGAATGTGATGTATCAAGGTAAACATGCTGGAGAGTGATGAAAGCTGAGACCGACTTAGGAATGGAGAGCAACGTCATGGAACACTACCACTCTGGTGAGAATTATTTGCTGGGGCAGAGTAAAAATGTGATACCATGAAAGTGGAGTTTGAGGATCATTTTTAGTGTCATATAAATTGGATATTCTGAAAGGAATTACAGTAATCAGTAACCTGAGACTATATGATGTAGGTCTCTGGAAGACTACAGGGTATGGTAGAAATATAAAAAGACTACACAACAGCAAAAACAAGCCCCCAAAGAATACAATAAGTTCAACAAGATTCTAGACTTGGAGAATTGAAGACAGAAAAAGATGAAATGATAACTTCAAGACTGGAATGAGAAATATGAAGGGCGATGATTTTATTTAGGGTACAGAAGTTAAGCAATGATGTCTACTTTAAAAGAAAATATGAACTGAAGGAGAATGGTGAATTTTGGTTGTGTAGCTAGCTGAGGAAAATTCCCCAAGCATGAGATGACATACACATGAAGTCACTCACATACATGAAGTAACAAAACAGACAAACAGAAAAAGAGACAAAAAGCAAGTAAAAGTAGGGTGTGGGGATTATTTTTAGTATAGAGGAGAAAAAAGCCTAATAAAGAAAAGCCAGATATTGAAGAAAAATGACCTAAAAAGATCCCGTAAGACAAAGAAAGGAGCCGGTTGATGGTGCACGCTTGTAATCCCAGCATTTGGGAGGTGGAGGTGGAGGCGGAGGCGGAGGCAGAGGCAGAGGCAGGCAGATTTCTGAGTTCAGATTATATATATATATATATATATATATATATATTCTCTACATATATATATGTAGAGAATGGGAATTTATTAGTGTGGCTTCTTACAGGCTCTTATCCACTAGACAGCAATGGCTGTCTACCAATGGAAAGTCCAAGAATCCAGCAGCTGTTTATTCCACCAGGTTGGATGTCTCAGCTGGTCTTCATTATATGCCAGAACCCTGAAATAGGATCTAATTCCAGTGAAGAAATGGACTTGCCAGCAACATCAAGGAAGCAAGAGCAAAAGCTTCCTTCTTTCATATCCTTACATAGGCTGCCATCAGAAGCTGTGGCCTAGATTAAAGGTGGATCTTCCCACCTCAAAAGATCCAGATTAAAAATGGGTCTTTCCTCTTAAAATGATTTAAGAACAAATCCCTCACAGGTGTACCCAGCAGTTTAGTTTTAGTTAATTCCAGATGTAGTCAAGTTGACAACCAAGAATAGCTACCACAAATCCGCCCCTCATCAACTTGATACACAATCACATCTCCTTAGGCCATGCTTAATTCCAACAGAAAATAATAACCAGGTCATATTACACCTAACATGATATAAGTATCTCACATACAGTTGCAAATGCATTATATATTTAACCAGGTTCTAATATACATCTAACACAATATTACTATCCCTTGTACAACCACAAGCCCATTATAAATTTTAGAATAGATGGCAGTGTCCCTTGGAGGACATTCTATTGGTATCTCAAAATTTAAATATGGCAACCACAGATTCTCTTAATTGATGTTATATTAGATGATAAAGAAATTGAGGAAAGAAGCACAAGTATCTGTAAAAACACATTCTTAACAAAATATGACAGAAACAGTCATGTCAATTACAGTCCTCATTTCTGCAACTGGTTACATGACCATAACTGATATTTATAACTACCTTCCTCTACTACCCATCCTGGATTTCCTCAAAGCAGAAAAGGCAACACTTAGTGGGTGGGAGTACATCTGCTGAGGGTAGAGAGACTATTCTCTCAGATGAGACAAACCCTTGAGAATCTGAGGGTCCTTCCACACATCTCCAGCCCAAGTTACAGGATCCGAATCTTTACTAAATTAATGCTATTACTTGAACTACTGATACCCTCTGGGGCTGGGATTTGAATTTTTTTTTCTTTATCCAGACATGCTGGGAGCAACCAACCACCATCACCATTTTTCTTGCTTTTCTACAATTGTCAAAAGTTTTATATACAGAGTCACCAAATCTCTTGCCTTCTAGAGCTGGTGAATCAGGATAACTAAATGCATTTGTCTCCTTAAGTTTTCAATACAACCTGGGTTTCTGAGAGGAGGCTTCAGTAGGTGTTGGCAAATTAGAAAGCCTATTCCAGATACTTAAAAATTTCATCTTTATCTATTGCTCTAGAACCACTTCTGGTACAAAAATCTGTGTTAGTCAGGGTTTTCTAGAAGAACAGAACTTACAGAATGAAAAAAATATATAAAGGGGTTTTATTAGAATGGCTTACAGGCTGTGGTCCAGTTAGTCCAACAATGGCTGTCGAACCACAAAAGACCCACGAATCTGGTAATACTCAAAATGCCAACCACGAATAGCCATCACATATGGGAAAATTCAACATAATGAAATATAAGAGATTAAGAAGGACAACCACAATAATAAAGGCCTTAATCTATACAGTGGCTATTCTACACACATTTTAGTGGAATGTTGACTATGACAGCCAGCAGAAATGGGTTAAATGAATAAAAACTTTGAAAAATCAACAAAAACACAAGACATACAGAATGGTGATAGGAAATGCACAAGAAGATTGAAGGGTTTCTCACTGTGGATGAACTTACTACTGCCACCCTAATTGCCCATCTGCCTAGCGTGGAATCTACTCACTTTTCTTCCCCTTATGCAGTCTATAGAGAAATGTGTTTGAGTCAGTAAGTTGTTACCTCTTTACCCTCCTAGTTACTCCTTTAAGCACATTTATAGACAAAAATTTACCTTTCTTGTACTAAAAAAATCAAGACTATCGACATCTAAAGATGTTCTCACCCCAAACAGTATTTTAAAACCAATTTTCTAGTAATTTCAATGAATCCACACTATACTATTGTGTACTATTTTACCAAGTATCTCTTATGACCAGGGGTACATGGTTTCATTTGGCAGGCCAGAGTTTAGTCAGTGTTGGTAGCATAGCAGTGTGGTCATCACAGGCTCTAGCTCCAGGCTGTAGTTAGAATCTTATCATTTGCTGGCTATGTGATATTGGTTAGTTCTCTAAGCTTCTGTTTCTATCATCTATAAATGGGGTATAAAGTGGTATTAGCTTTTAAGTAGGATAAATGTTTAAGTTAGGGTTTGGCTCACAGCAACTGCTCAAAACAAAACAAAACAAAACAGATGAAACAAAATCTGTAATTCTGGAGATGTAGAAACAAGAGCAAAGCTATACTGGTCCATGTTGGAATCAATCATCACATTCTTGAATACCTATGGCCCGATGGAGAATCACTTTGAAACCTCAGAGGTTTCTTCCAGTGGTACTTTGATGGCAAGTGAGTTAGGAAAGAACTGCTTTATCATGCCAGATCCTAAAATGAGCAGCTGAGGATGGTACAAGAAAGTACTGGTGAACAATTCATTTCAGTTCAAAGCAAAAAAAAAAAAAAAGACTCTATAGGATAAAAGCCTAATGAATGTCACTGATAGTTAAGAGCTCTAAATAATGTAATACAGATTAATGCTTGGTAAATCAAGACTAAAAATGACTTCTATGTACTTTTGCAAAGATAATTAATCTTCCTAACCATATTTTTTTTTCTTTGGACTTCTTTGAGATGCTTAGTAGTTCTTAGACTGAAGTAATCTGTTTCATATCGTTGTGGATACAAATTTACTGGAATTTACTGGAAATGAAGGCAGGTGCTCCATAAAAGTGTATGGCAAGAGTGGGCATTCGTATTTGCACACACAGACACCAAGCTTCTCTCACAAGGTACTCATCCTATGCAACGTCTGCACACAAGGTAGCACTGACCTGCACAGAAAGCCTGTCATCTAGGGAAGATAAGGCACAACTCAAACAACTGAGGCTGGGGAGATGGCTCAGCAGTAGTGTTAGAGCAGAGTTAGGAATGGTTCTATACTGAACAGGAAGGAAGCAAACAGAAAGGAGGATAAGAAAATAAATAATAATAGAAAGAACTAGTCTGAGAGAGTTAACCAAAGAAACTAAGATGATCCTTTTCAAGATAGTCATAATGCAAAATTGTTTTCTTGGAGATTTCATCATAACCTACTTATGTGTCTTTGGAGTAAGATTAATGGAATCTTTTTAAGTGTGAGGATTAATGTTGCAACGCAAAAGTTATTAAACTCCAAGTCCACTGTCTAATCAAATAGCCAAACGTGAAATATAATAGATGGTTTTCTTGCTCTTCACTATATGAGAATTCTAAGAATGTTCCTCATATTTGGAGGTCTAGTAGCACTACTAGAATTCATCTGAAAAGGACACTATATTTTTGATATACACGATCTGGTGTGTTATTTTAAAACCAGTCTCATTACCTTACACAATAGCCTATGTTATACTAAAAGCCTTAGTGGTGAAATATAGGGCCTAGTGACAATGAGTGTAATAATCTATCTTCGTTGTTAGATGACTGATGGAGTATACCAGAATTCAGAATGAGGAATCAGAGGTGAGGTATTTGACAGATTACCACTGTGAATACTAAAGGTATGCAAATGGAAGGAAACAGATGGAAGATGATTATGGAGCTGCAGAGGCCATCTGAGGTCAGTCTAGACTGACCATATACTCAGCAAGTTTATATAGATAGGAACCTGAGAGCAGTATTGTAATGGGTCAAAAGGGATGATGCACATTCTTTGTAAGGATTTTTAATGTCTTTTTCTAGCACCTTTGTCTCCTATGTGGTGCCAAAGCTTTGACAGTGCAAATATTTTTCAAACCAGTGTAGAGTGGGAAGGTGAAGGAGAGTCAGAAGTCACCTTGAGGTAAAAACGTCTATGCTCAAGAATAGCCAGGCTGAATCTCCATTTACCTCTTTGTTTGCATCACTCCCACCATTATCACTAATGTATCCACTTCCTTTGTTGACACAGATACCCGAGACTGGGGGAGGTGAAGGATATGTACAGATGCTCAGGAACTCAATGGAGTCAATAAAGGTGCTAAATAAAGAGAAATGCTACAGTGCTGTTAACAATATAGCATTGAGTTTGTAGAAGAATATGGATTTCTATCATCTAAGAGTATTAGAATAATATGTTAAATGTCTGACAATTTCCCTCTAACTAGGGTATCAGAAAACTAAATACAAATCTTAGTCTCACTGAGGTTGCCTTGGACTCAAGGCAGAGCCCCAGCAGCTTCTTAGATTAGCATTTACAAGGGTACCTTCAGAGGGATGATGAAAAGGGACCACAGGAAATGGGAAGAGAAGCTTAGAGGAGTGGCTCTTCTCAAACTTCCAACTACTCTTGGGAAAGACAAAATAATAGTGCTTTAAGTCACAACAAGCAATTGCTTTTATTTTAAAGTTCTGAAGAATATATTAAGCTGCTGGGGCTCTGCTTCACCAGATGCCTCCAAAGACAGTCAAGCTAATCAATAGTATCAGGGATTGGGCTCAAACTACTGAAATGCTCTTCTTAGCTTTGTCATCACTACAGATTTTGCCTTTTTTCACTAGACTTTTCCACTCCGACAGGGTTTCTCTACTGCTGAATAATGCTCAAATGACAACCAAAGCTTTTCCTAAACTCCTGTGGTTTCAGGCTTTTCTCCAGTGTGGATTCTCTGATGTCTAATGAGGCTCGATCTCTGAATAAAGGCTTTCCCACACTCATTGCATTGATAGGGCTTCTCCCCTGTATGTATTCTTAGATGCTGAATGAGACCAGTGTTCCCATTGAAAGCTTTTCCACATTCTTTACACTTATAGGGTCTTTCTCCAGTATGGATTCTCTGATGTTCAATAAGGCCTGATTTCTGACTGAAGGCCCTCCCACACTCATTGCATTTGTAGGGTTTCTCCCCAGTATGGCTTCTTTGATGGCCAATAAGATGTGAGCTGCGCCTGAAGGTTTTCCCACACTCATCACACTCATAGGGTTTCTCCCCAGTGTGAATTCTCTGATGTCCAATGAGGTGTGAACTATGACTGAAAGCTTTTCCACATTCATTACATTCATACGGTCTCTCTCCACTGTGGATTCTCTGGTGCAAAATAAGGCCTGCACTCTGACTAAAGGCCTTCCCACACTGATTACACTGATAGGGCTTCTCCCCAGTGTGGATTCTCTGGTGTAGGATCAGACCTGTGTTCTGACTGAAGGCCTTACCACATTCCTTGCAGTGATAGCGCTTCACTTTGTTGTGGATATCCTGATGGGAAAGAAGGGCTGACCTGTAACTGAAAGCTTTACTACACACATTACACTGATAGGGTTTCTCTCCAGTGTGTATTCTCCAATGGCGAACAAGGCCTGAGTTCTGAGCAAAGCTTTTCCCACATTCGTCACATTTATGCCGTCTCTCTTGTGTGGAAGTTCCCTGCTGCCTTTCTAATCTGCCCAGAAGGTCTCGGGTTTCTCCATGTGCAAGACCCACAATAACATCCCCGTTGCACTTAGCAGCTGTTTGTCCACGTGGCTGGATTCCAGAAGATATTACCTGTTTTGAAAATAATTCCTTGTTCTCACTCCTGGTGTCACCATCTGAAATAAACATGTAGTAAACAATCATTCTCAAAGTCGCTTTCTATTTTCTATACTAGAAGAAAGGGGGAAATGAAGTTCTCATGGAAGCTATAAGCAAATACAAGCTTCTCTATCCAATATAGGGAGAGATAAATGTAGGTTGATCAAGCAGAAGTACCAAATGCCAACTAGGAAAGAGCTGCTTGGAAAAAAGGGGTTTCCTAATAGGGGAGTAAAGTTAGAAAGGGATTAATTGAGAAGTGTAAGTTGTGGAGTAGGAAGAGATAAAGAACTCCTACAAGATCTACTGAGTGGGACAGAATGTGCCAGGCAGTCCTGAAAGGGATGGAGGTACAACTGGCTCATACGACAGAAACACTCTAATATGATGGCCCAAGGGGAACTGGAAGAAAGGTGGGAAGTCAGGAGTACTACAGAGATGTCAATTTCTAACTGACAAAAAGAACAGTACTCATTATACAGATACAAACTGTAAGGAATTCTGGGCTGGAGCACAAAATGTTTCATTTCAGACCTCAGGAATCTCAATCTAATATTTATGTCTTGAATTCTGAGTTTCCTTTCTTTAAGAATTATTTAAAAATTATAAAGCAAATTTATGTCTATGTGTAAAGTATCTGCAGAGGCCAGAAAAAGGCATCATAGCCCCTAGAGTTGGAGTTACAGGTGGTTATAAGGTACCTAATGTGGATGCTGGGAAATGAACTCCAGTCCTCCAGAAGAGCAGGAAGCACTCTTAACCATTGAGCCATCTCTACAGCCCTGAATCTTGAGTTTAAGTTCAACTAAATCCTTTGGAAATCTTATAAAGCTACCAGAAACACAACAAACAAAGAGAAAATTCTTAAATTATAACTACAGCTCTCCTTACCCAGGGAGAACATGTTTCTGTATTTCTCAGGCCTGTTATCTCTATTCAGATCCTTCTGTGATGGATCAAGAAGCCACTCCTCTCGAATAAGAGACACAGCCATGTCTTCAATCTTTTCCAAAGTCTGAAACAAAAGAAGACCCTCATTTGGGGCCTAGAAAGGTTTTACAGCTCAAAACTAGTGTTTGAGATAACTACAGTGTTAGAAGAGGTGAAGAAGCAGGAATGAGCAGGAATGTGCTATGCAAAGGGAAGTCCATAGCAGGGCAGAAGAGTAAAGTGCACTAGATTTATTGGGGGAAACCAAAGACTGGTTTGTTACTAAGCAAAAAGGATTCAGGGAAAGTTCTTAAACAGATAACACTACTGACAGATATGGGCATCTTCCATAATATTGTCAGAGACACAGGCTTTTAGTGAGAAGGAGCACAACTCACCTGGAACCCTGCAGTGAGAAGTCTAGCTGTCACCTCCTGATCTCCAGAACTTCCTTTCTGGGAAGGAGTAGGACTCTGAGAAGTAGACATGGCTGAGAGGAGAAAGCAGCTATGAATTGACTAGTCTTATTGTATGGTTGTGGGAGCCAGTATTTACTTATCCAAAATTACTTTTATTTCAGCATATACAGGCCAAGGATTTTGCACATAAAGTGCTGACATTTTGGACTCTGGCCCATGTCCATGGATGCCCATAGAACATCTGCACTTTGATGTACCTGAACTTACACAGCCAAATAAACTAAGTATACCTATTTCTTAACAGGAGCTGCTTTCTAATTTCTTCTCTACCAAAGTACTCTTTGTGTTTGTATGCAGCATTCCTTTAGATTCTGAAGTCCTAGAAAGCTGAATATGAGAACTGACCAATTTCTTACCTTTCTGCTATCTACTATGACTGCCAGTGTCCGCTTTTCATGGATAGTAAGCATCTTCTCATCAAAGACAACTTAAGAGTTAAGCAACATACGTCAGACAAGAATTATATAATTAACTAAATAAAGTGTTTCTATGCTACTTCTTTAGAAACATTAAAAATTCTTAGCCTTTTGACGAAAAATTCACTTATGTTGTGGGGTAGCAAACGCCTATAGCCACAGCACTTATGGTATAGATAGGAGGATCACCATAAATTTGAGGCCAGGCTGATCTACATAGTGAGTTCCAGGCCAGGCAGGACTACACAGAGAACTTGTTTCAAAAAGCAAAATATATTCACTTATAGAAAACAAAGCATTATAAATCCCCAAAATGGAAAAAAAAAAGAACCCCCCCAAAACAACAAAGACAATCTAGAATATGCTGTTCTGTATAAAATAAGGTAATTCTCAAAGAGTGATAGGAAAATGTCAAAAACCCCACAAAACAAACAGACCAAAACCAAACGACCAGGAAAACCGATTTAAGGGGTTTCATCTGGCCAAATATGATTTAAGCACAATTAACACAATGTTTCTGGAACAAAGAATTTATATGTTTGTTGGTAAATAATAGCAATTCGAAGAGTGCTTGCCTTGGATGAATAAGGCCCTGAGTTAGTACTTAGCACTGCCTAACAATACCCACCCCCACACACATACACACACAGCTCCACACACTAGGGGCTAGAATAATGGCTCAGTGGTAAAGTGCTTGCTGTGGAAGTAAGAGCACATAAGTTCAGAATCCCATCACCTACATAAAAACCCTATGTCTGGAGCCTCTGTGTTGGGGGTTGGAAAAGAACAAAGACAGGCAGATCCTTAGGGCCTGTAGGTCAGGTAGTCTAGCTGAAACATGGTAGACCTAAGTGTTCAAGGAAAGACTCATCTTAAAAAATAAGGTAAAGGGGCCAGAGAGAGCTTGAGGGGTAAAAGTGCTTTCCATATAAGCCTGATGGCTCAAGTTCAATTCCTGGAACCCATGGTGGATAGACAGAAGCCACTCTTGAAGAAAGTTGTTCTCTGATCTCTAGGTGCATTTCTGTGTACACACACTAATAAAAATAATACAAATAAGGTAGGGAGAAACAGAGGACACCCAACATGACTTCTAGTCTCCACATGAGCACCCAGGGATGAGCTAAAAGGGAAAGAAATAATGTTTTCTTTTAAGATTAACAATGCAATAACATAGAAGGAATGACCAAGAAATTACCATTTGTAACTGGTTTAATAATAATCACTGACTCAATTGAGAAGTATCAACAAAGTAAAAAAGAAATATCAATAAATATTAAGACTCCTGTTTCAGCAACAAATATGATAAAGGTTAAGATATTTACACACCTCCATGGGAATTTCCTCCTAGATTACTTCTTAATTATAAAGGGAAGAACAGTAACTTTACAGTGATTGCCTAGCAAGATTAGTCTTAAGTCATCAAAGATAACATCACAATAGGTCAAATTTCTGGAGTGTTTTTGCCAAATATATACAACTTGAACTTAAATATGAGAAAATATCAAACAAATCTAATCTACAGCCATTCTAATACTAATCTATGTTCTTCAAAACTGTTAAAGTCATGAAAAAAAAAGACTAAGAAATAATGCCAAATTAAAGGAGATTGAAGAGATTTATGACTAAGTACACTATGATCACTGGCTCTGGGCCAGAAAAAAAACATTGAAATGACTGGCAAAACATGGGTATGATCTGTAGATTGGATCAGTACCACACCAGCACCATAATTCCCATGTCTTCTTACCGTGGTTATCAAAAATGCTCTCATTAAAAGAAAGGCATACTGAGGTACTTGCAAATAAAATGTTATGATCCTAGAAAAATATAAAAAGATGTCTGCTGTAAATGTACTGGGGTAACAAAGTTCTTTGTTTATAAGTTTACCACTAGAACTGATGGTCTACTGTCCTCTGGGGATGATATGGCCATTGCCCCCACTGAACTCTAAGCTGCTGTAGCCGCATGCATAAGACCTGCAAAAGACTGAGCCCATTAACTTTTGCCACAGAGTGGGGAAGGACCACAAGCTCCCTCCCCCATTCCCATGTTGGCAGTTAAGTAGTGCTAAGAGCTTTCTTCAGTGGTGCAGCTGCTGCTAAGCTACCCATGTTCCTTTAAAGAAAAAAAAAATCCTTTATCCTACTCCTAATTAAACTTATTGGTTACAAGTTAGTCTTCAATAAAGTTGTTTCTTTGTTGTGTCCTTCATGCGCCACCTGGGGTGAACAGATGTTTATCCCCACAGGAAAAGTTCACATACTACTATGAACATTCAAAACCAGAAGATTGGGACTACTCAAACACAGATACTAGTTCCTGAATGAGACAGGTACCCCAAATATAAGTCTCTTTCCTTTCTACTTTCCTTACCCTTATAAGTGAAATCTGGTCTCTCTCCACTGTCCTGTGGCTTCTGGGGCACTGGAGATTTATGCTTGGTTGCCACAGGTTGGAGTTGAGTACTTGGAGGTTCTGGTGCAGCTTCTGAAGATATGACTTCCTCCCAGTGTACTCTGTGCCCATGTGTACGAGCTGAGACCTAGAAATAATGGGACAGCTGATTTACAAAGAATTCCTTTGAGAAATGAAGTGGTAATAGAGCCAATTGGCCTTTGATGGGTGTTCCTATTTGGGAAAGCATGCAGTATAATCTCATTTACTTCCTAGGGCAACAAGAAACAATACTACTAGCAAGAGGAGGGATTTTTTTTTTCCTGCTCAATACTAAAGAAAAGACTTTTGTTGATATGTCTCTACTATATCAAACACCAATATCTGTGCTCCAACTCTAGGACAGAAAATAACAAAAGAATGAATAACAGAGAAAACTAAAACAGGGCCATACAATACCAAAACTGTTTTGACAAGGAACTAGGAAGCCTATATCCTAGGAAGCAGCCATCTTTAACTAGCCAGGTAAGGCAAGCAGACACCGAAAACAGTTTAGCAAGCTGGGCGGGCTTTACTTGTTTTCTCACCGGCACCCCACAACAATGCACCTAGCACCTGTTAGTGATCTGGGACTCGCACCTGCAGTAAGGTGTGTCCACACCTTACTCTCCACAATAGAATAAATTTCTCTCCCATTGACAACTATGAAACCAAGACAGCTTGTACCCAGTTATATTCCAGCTATATATGGGTAAAGAAGGTAGGGGGCCAAGCAGACCTCGGCTAATGCTAGGTGCATGAGCATTAAGGGAAACTGTCATTTGAGAAAACAAAGAACCATCCTCATCATGCCTGTTAGCAAACTCTTTCTCGCAAACATCATAAAAAGAAGCCCCAAATAATTGGGGCTCTTGAGTACTCTCACTCAAGTGGCCTGTCACTCTTGAGTGTATGTCTTGCTTTGTACTAGTTCTACCATTGAGTAAAGTTTCCTTGCTATGTGTACAATTTGTGTGGATCTTTATTTGAATTCCTTGGATAAGAGGCCAAAAATGTGGAAACATTTGACCTAAACCCTGACCACTGGTACCATGGGTACCCCAAAAGAAAAATAATATAAAGTTCTTTGTGTATCATGGTCCCATTTAGCAAGCAAGGGCAATAGTACATATAATACATATAATTGTAGGGATGTTAAGAGGATAAAAAATGGATTTTATCAGCCGGGTGATGGTGGCACACGCCTTTAATCCCAGCACTCGGAGGCAGTGGCAGGCGGATCTCTCTGAGTTCGAGACCAGCCTGGTCTATAAGAGCTAGCAACAGCCTCCAAAACCACAGAGAAACCCTGTCTCGAAAAACCAAAAAGAAAAACAAGAAAAAAATGGATTTTATCATTTACAAAACTACAAGTGCAATACATAGCACATTAATTTTCATCCACATTCAACAGAAACCAATCACAGAATTTCCAATGTCTTCTTACCCAGTTTCCAAGAATTCACAGTACAGCATGCATAGCTACTTACTGGTTGTCTTAGGATATTAATCTGCCTTTCCAAGTCCTCCAACAGGGTCACCACCTCCTCTCCATTTTCTAATTGGTGTTCCTTAACCAGAGTCTGTAGCTCCGCAGGCAGGATGGTCAGGAACTGCTCCAGCACCAGCAGCTCCAGGATCTGCTCCTTGCTGTTCAAGTCTGGCCGCAGCCACTGATGGCAAAGTGCACGGAGCTGTATCAGAGCTTCCCGGGGTCCTAATGTCTCCTGGTAGCATAGCTGCCTGAAGCGTAGGCGGAACAGTTCTTGGCCAGGAGTATTATTTTCATGCACACTAGTTTCCTCATCCCATCCATGATCCTCCTCTATCTTGACAATGACAAGATCCTCTTCAGGAACCTGGTCTGGTGGAGATGGGGCCGAAGAAGGCTTTCTTGATTCTGCAGCCATTTAGGGCCAGAAAAGCTTAAAAGGCCCCTTTCCTCTACCTTCTGCACTTTCTTAAAAGTCTTCCCAGGACCTCCAGGGCACTTCTTCCAGAACAGAAAATGATAAATATGTTAAGGTAAGGCAAAAGTCATAGTAACTTACCTAGATACCTCAATATGCTCCCCTAAACAATCTGCTATGACAAACCCACCCAGGGTACAAATCCTTCCTTTTGGTTTCCTGTTTAGGACTGTGGAGGATAGAGACCCAGCCTAACTGAAATTCTGTACTTAATATCAGGCATCTCAGTACCACTCACTGAACTCCTCAGAGCACCTTGTACACCTCCCAGTCTCAACCTTTTTTTTTTAAATTTTTAAATTTTTTTGTACCTCAGCTCTCAACCTAGTTCTTATTCTCAGCAGATGAGGCTAGTATTTAACCTCATAAGATAAGATTTAGTATCCTACTAATGCTCCTATCTTCCCCTGTCCCAGGGCTAACTCTTGGACTCCACCTCCTACTCCTAAAAATCTATTTGTAGCACTGGATCTGCAAAGAACCAGGATGTCTTATTAACATCTACAACAGCCAAATCTAAACCCACACACCAATGACCTTCCAGAATGTTACAGAAATATAATATAGTAGTGTCTGAGTTTGACAACTTTCACTTAGCATAAAACACCTGATATTAATCAATGTTGTGTCTGTTTATTCTTCTACAAATGAGAATTTATCTACTCCCCACCAGGTGAATTGTTTCCTGTTCTTGATTATGAACAAAATCACTATGGTTATGTGCACACATATTCTTGTATTACACAGTTTTTAATTCAGTGGGGTAACTTGTTTTCTTAGTAACAATGTTGAACACATATTTTGGTGAAGTGTCTATTTAAACATCTTGGCTCTTCTTGCTTTTTTTGTTAGTCTCATTCTATAATCAAAGCACATCAAACTAGTGATTTTCTCACCTCAGCTTCCTAAGTGCTGGGACTAGGCGTGCACCACCATGCTCAGCTTGACTTATGTATTTATGTAACTTGTTTCGACTGTTGACTCTTATCATAGCCTAGTCTAGTCTGGAACCCAAGGTGTAGCTCAGGTTGATCTTTAACCTGTGATTCTCTTGCCTCCATCTTGCAAATATTGGGATTACATGCATGTGTCATCATGCTTTGCCCAGTACTATTTTGTAATTGAGGTTTTATTTTGTTTGTATGTTTATGAGATTTGAGAATTCTTTATATATTTTGGATACAAGAGATCTGGGCCGGGTGTTAGTGGTGCACACCTTTAATCCCAGCACTCAGGAGGCAGAGGCAGGCGGATCTCTGTGAGTTCGAGGCCAGTGAGTTCCAGAACAGCCTCCAAAGCTACACAGAGAAACCCTGTCTCAGAAAAAAAACAAAAACAAAAAAACCAAAAAACAATACAACAACAAAACAAAAAACAACAAAAAGAGATATTGACTCCCTTCTTTGAAGAAGATATTTGTAATTTTTTTGAGCACATATTATCAAAATTTTTAAGAATTGTTCTTTTGATATCAAATCAAAGAAATGTCTGTTTAACCCTAAATCATGAAGGTTTTCTTCTAAATGTTTGTAGTTTTAGGTTTTTACTTTTAAGTCTATGGTTGCCGGGAGCCATGTGATCTCTTTAGGGGACAAGGCCTGAGAATAGCATGAAAAAGTTCTCCTTTTGGCAAGGCCTGGTAGAATTTAACCCATTTTTGGCAAGGCCAATAGATAGTTTATTGTAATTCTGGGCATGACCCCAGGAACATATGTACTACCTGTTCTCCTTGCTTTCCTTACACAAATCATATTGCTGGCTGCCTCCATTTCCACTTTCTTAAAGCCATACATGAAATGGCTATTGCATTAGGAAAACTTTCCCCTAATGACTCTCCTCTGGGTAAGCCAAAGGAGATGTTGTTGAAAATATATAGTGGATCTGATTCAGCTTCTAAAGCCTTCGATGCTTCAGGTGTGACCAAAAACAGGATGTTGTCTTTCCAACACATCTTGTGACTGGCCTGAAAGAGTCACAGAGTTCTTGACAATATTAAAAATTTGCATAATTATCTTGGAGAGAAAGATTCTAACTCCAAGAGTAATGCAAATGAATAGACGCTATCAAGAGTTCATGGGAACAGTCTAAAGACAGGGACTGAAGCAGACTCGCAGGAACTTACATTTCTATAACTGTGCCTGTACTGTAGGAGACAACACTGTAGGAACCTGAGAGGAAGGGGACATGAGGACAAGAGATAGGCTGTGTCAACTACTAAGAGTAAGCTTTTAAGGTTATGTAGTACATAGGGTGACTGGAGATAGAGTAATAGAGGATGAAGAATGAAGTGATTCAGCCTTCACTGATAAGTTGATTGTGAGAGTTTAGATTTGATTAGAGGTAAACATTAACCAATAGAAGCTAATTTCTTTTTCACTTTGCATGATGCTATAACTGCAAATGCTGCCAACTGGGTACACCGTTCTACCTATAGGTGTGCCTAGTTAGAAAACTTCCTTTGTTGCTTGTTATACTGCTTATGCTTTTAACATTAGAGCTATGAACTAAGTAGGTAATGATTATGGGTAGGAACATTGGAGGATGGAAGGAGAATGAGGTAAGGGAACAAACCTGCAATTATTCTAATTATTTGAAACTTAAGGAAGCAAATATGATTGCAAAACTGTTCATACAGACTATTGAAATGGTATAAATAAAAACGGCTCAGGCTATCTGGGGTCACTTGTTTGAAACTGGTGGTCAGATATTTCTTCCTTTCACCGACTTCACACATCCATCCCAGGTCATTGGACCTGTTAGGAGCTAGACTCTGAGCATATGGTCTGTTTTGAATTATCTTTGCAGAGGTGAGGGTATGGCTTGGTGATGTGTGATGACAATGTGCTCTAGCACCATTCACAGAAAGGGTTATATACTGAATTCTTTGCTTTTTCATCTGGGGGGGAAAAAAAAGCTGACTGACCATAAATACTGTTTCTGGAGTCTCTATTCTGTTATCTTGACCTATAAATCTACCTTCTCTTGATACAAAGAAATCTGAAGATGGACTTTTAAATGTTAAAATCAAGTAGTTCCAATCCTGTAACTTCTCTGCTTTTGAAGCTGTTTTGGCTTTACTGGTTGTCTCCTTTTTTGAAACACATATTAGAATAAGCTTATTGATTCCCAATAATGCTGGAATTGAACTTGTGTTGAATCTATAGCACAGTTTAGAGATACTATCTTAACAGTATTGTTATCACATTAGGGATGGCACCTTAACAAGGGTGTCCCAGTCTATGAATATCAATCTCTCTCTTCATTACAGTCTTCTTGGACTACTTTCATTATTGACCAAACTATTTCCTTTCCTTTCTTTCTATAGTTACACATACTACTTTTCTCAGAACTATACATTACTGTTTATAAAAAGTTTTGCTCTCTTAATTTCATAATCCTCATGAAAATTTTATCTTACTGAGAGAATTAAAGAACATCAGAGGGCTATTTTTACAACACAACACAGAATTATCTAGATTTATTTTAAGTGTGAAGGTTAGACCTAGAAGTCCAGATCCAAAGAGTGCACTTGGATGGCCCTGTTTCTTTGTGGGGTATATGTACCCTAACGGTTTCTGTCCCTGTATAGATACATCTCTTGCTAAGGCTGCAGTGGTCACTTCTTAATTTTGGTTATACTTCTTTTTCATTCATGTCCCATAATGCTACTAGCTCTGTCTTCAAAAAGAAAAAAAAGAGATGCCCTAGGTAGTACTTATTTGCAAATACTAGGCAAATTAACATGAAGTAATATCTGTAGTAAGATGGGTCCTTAATTCAATATGGCTGGTCTACTATTAGAGACATAGGGTTCTGCAAGAAAGCTCAGGAGGTCAAGGCACCTGCTGCCAAGCCTGACATTGAGTTTAGATTCCCAGGACACACATCATGGAAGGAGAGGACTGACTCCTGAAAGTTGTCCTCTGATCTCCACTAGGGAACTGTGGCATGAGTTGACCTTACTCATCCTCCCCAAACAAAACAAAACTCTCACTCTATATCTCAGGCTGGTTTCAAACTGGTTTCAACCTCAGTCTCCTGAGTACTTCGTGTAATTACAGGCAGGCATCAATAGATATGGCCCTTTCTTTTTTTTTTTTTTTTTTCTTTAAGTGAGAAGTTTTATTAGAAGGAGAAGGGAGAAGGGAGGGGGAAAGGAAAAAATAAGAAGTAAAGAGACAGAGATAGGACAGAAGAAGGAGACAGGAAAAGTCCTGTCTGCCCCAAGGGAACATAGGGAAAGAGCCCTTTCATTCTTTTTAATGACTAATATTAATCTTTTAAAAATCATCTTCCTTTTCCAATAAGCTTTCCCCCCTCAATATTAAATCCAGAGCTGAGTAAAAAATTAGTCCTCTAGGTATTCTCCCCTCTAATAATTTTGTGCATACAAACTGCAATGTTGGTAAGCACCTATACATAACACTGACCCTTATATATTATCCTTAAAGAACATCCAGTCAGGTTTATCGACTTATGAATGTAAAGGTAACAATCCTAAGCTTCTTCTGGATCTAAATGTTAAAGTCTTGACAACCAAGAAGAGACAACTCAACTTAAATAATACTGGCTTTTCAACAGATGTAGAAGTAGTATTTTCCCTTCAGATTAAGTTGAACTTGAGAAATGTCTTGTTACTGAGTACAAACCAGGAAAGACAATCTCCAGGCTTTAGAAATCAAGGAAAAGTAAAAGAAACAAACACTATGTTTTGTAGCTATCTCAAATTTCATTCACTGAATATTTTTCTTTTGGAGATTCCTAAAGTTATTTTAGTAGAGGCTTAATTAAGCATGGGGGTTAAGAGAAATGGCACTGAGAAGAGGGCCAGCAACAAGTGTGGGTATGAGGTCCTCAAAGGCATTGCTTTGATACATGCTTTTAAGGTTTACCATATTCTTTTGTTTGTTTGTTTTTGTTTTTCGAGAAAGGGTTTCTCTGTGTAGCTTTGGAGCCTATTCTGGCACTCGCTCTGGAGACCAGGCTAGCCTCGAACTCACAGAGATCCGCCAGCCTCTGCTTCCTGAGTGCTGGGATTAA